GGCTTAAATGGTTGACAGCATGTATATACTATGTGTGCACCGTCATTTAACCATGTTGTATCAACTGTATACGACAATCAATTTCGACTGATAAGATGATCACATTTGGAGAATTTGGAAGGTATGAGATGAAATGGCTGTGGCATATTTCAAGCTAATAATTCCGCATTCGCAAGATAGAAATTCTAGTCAGGATAATCGGTATCCGAGATTCGAACCAGGCGCTTCCAGAAAATTAAAACAGAGAGGTAAAAGTAAATTTGTCCCTGTACTTAATTAATTAACGCCCCATGAAAACACAAGGGTTATTGGACCTATGGTTCCATCTTTATTGAACTCGGTACTAGATGGAGGTGCGTGGTTAGTTTCACGCCCCTGCCGTTTTAGCACCGGAGAAAGAGTTCTCCGGCACGCATTAGATAGAAGGCTGGTTGGATCCTACAACCAGTCTGAACGCTGTGGATTAGAAAGATATCCGTTGCCGGGCATCGAACTTCGGCAGTCCAGCTCGCAGGCCGTTGCTATACCGACTGAGCTGTTCCGGATCCGTAAGTGCTGTAGTTTAATGAATTTTTATGAATAATGATAGGACAACGCTTAACTAAATCAGAATATCGCCAATGAACGAGTTAAACGAACAGGAATTACGATATAAACCTGGATTTAACTTGAACCCACACCTCTCAGAGCCGTTCGTACAAAGAGGACTGCCCAATCTCAAGGTCGTACACATGGATTATTTGTGACAATCCATGCACTCCTGAGCTAATAAGTAGATGACTGAACGTGCAATAATGAAAGGACAGGGTGTTGTACAGGCAGTTCCAATTACGAGTATAAGTCAGGAGAGACTGAAGTAATGCAGTCCATGACAGATTTCCTCCATATCCTTTTTAGTTAGCAATCAGTGATATATAGATCCTCGNACCGGTTCTCACGGTCTCTCCGCTTGCAGAATTCTTATATTTTTCCTTTTACCCTGTAGATGGAGGCGATACGTTCCTCCAAAACGTCGGTTAACACCACATATACACGGTGCCAAATCCCAGAAGACTGCTTTGTTCATAGTCACCGCCGTGAAAGCCTCAAATCTTACAAAGCAATAACCAGCTAGAAACTGGGGAAAAAGATAGTTGATATTCCAATTGCTTTCTTTGCTATTTTCCATATCTCTTTGGATTTTATGTTCATTTATTGCAGGTATGAACCCATTGTCACAAAGCCAATTGTATCGCATACTCGGAAATGGTTTGTCTTTTTCATATCGTAACATAGAGTTCACTATATCGCAAAAGGTTCCAAATAAATTTCGTACACTCAGTTATGTTTACAGCATACTGTATGATGGTACCAGTTTGTTGTGCGACGATACTAATAAAATTCAGTTTGAACTTCGTTTATTGGGAATATTCAACCAAAAGAACCAGATATTAATGTCACTCTGCGTCTGATCAAGAATTTGAATGGAGCCTGTTTAGTAGTTTCGAAGATTAAACATGGGAAGGACAGCTACGAATCCCCCTTATGCCTTCACTCCTAAAAATATATGTAAAACATCATCATCATCATAATCAGCTCACCCTTCAATTGTGTACCCCAAAAAGCACAACCCCTTGGATGTAGGGCTGCTTATTGTTTGACATTGCTTTTCTACGGGCCCATTTTAAGGCGAATCTCGTTGCTAAATGCTTATCACTCATGCTTCATATTCCATAGGCCCATAATTTAAATCTTGACCTGGAGACCGGCTTTCCTGACTGTGGTTGATCATGGTTTTCTTCAGTCCTTCCGAGGTAAATGTCGGGATGGTACATGAAACTAGGCCACGGTCGTTTCCTTCCAAATTCCATTCAATTTAATATTCATTAATGATCCTATCCTTCGACGCTATGTAGATTGAGCTGTTCAAAAGATTGTTAAAGGAAACACAAGTAAATAACATTTAAATTTAAGTCCTCTTCGTCATTCATTTAGCTGTCCTAACGTTAACGTTTTAAGGTAAGATTGAAATCTGTCTCTGTAGCGTAGTTGGTTGAGGCGCTATGCTACAAGCCGGAAGGTTGCGGGTTCAAGTCCCGATGAGGTCATTGGATTTTTTTTAATTTACCTAATCCTTCCAGCCGCACTATGACCCTGGGGTCGACTCAGCCTCTAACAGAAATGAATATCACGAAAATTCTTGGAATGTTCTTGGGAATAAAGAGCGGCCGGCGAGCAAGGCTGACAACCTTGCTGCCATCTATGAGCCGATTGTCTAGAAAATGTTGGAAACTTAATATCTCGCAACACTATGGGCCTCCAAAGCCTGTTACAGGGATACCTTTACTTTACTTATCTCTTCTTAAACATCCAAAATTTAATGAAATCAGAGAGACTACAGGAATTTGAGGAGATGTTTTATTTCAAGTAGAGTTTACTACAAAGTATTCCACTTAATAATAGCCCTTGAAATGAATTTTACGTGTCACCAAGCAGTTGATGCAACCCACAGAACTGTCTGATACTCTCTGAGTATTCTGTAATCGCCTCTCAAGCCCAGCGGCAAGTTGAATAATAATGAACCAATAGACGCTTGTTTCGAAGCTTTGTGCAGAATATAAACTGAGTGGTGAAAACAAATTTCCAAACACGACCATGCACTCATTTGAAAGACATTCATAAGATACGCCGAATGAATGCTGTGAGGGGCACAACTAAAGAGAGAGGGGCCCGAAAATGTAGAGGCTGGTTTCAGAATATTTTGAGTATACGTGTACCTTCAAAAGTGTATACCATATCCAATATGGCGTATTTCGACACACCCACACAAAACTGTACAAAAATATTGCAAAGATTTGATCAACACGTTGCCAGGCAACAGCTCTGTAAACGAGCTCCAACATGCAACAATAGATGAGGCTGTGCCGCGTCAAGCATCAGTGGAACAACGGGGTTATGCAACCCGTTTCTAAGCATAGGCTCTGTAAACACACTTACGCGTAAACGGTGACGTCATCAACAATAGAGACGGTGTTTTCCACGGGGTGTATCAGAGCGCTTATAAGAGAAGTGAATACAGTAACAGAGTTAGTTCTGAGGTCGGCCGCGCCGTAGCTCAAGCGGTTAGTCGCTGGCTTCCAACCGCGGCGGCCCGGGTTCGATCCCGGCTCTGGTCAAGTGGGATTTGTGGTGGACAAAGTGGCGCTGGGGCAGGTTTTCTCCTAGTATTTCGGATCCCCTGTCAATCTTCATTCCACCAATTGCTCCACAATCACCCTCACCTTTCATCTGGGGCTGGTACGATGGGCCAGAAGTGGCCGCAGTACAAGGGACTTAGTCCCACCCCACTATCAATAAGAATTAATAAAAAATAGTTCAGGGCAGTTAAGGGTTAGCCGTAAGCTGGAGTAATGAGTCCAGAAGAATTTCTAGTTCCGAGGTTCCAGAGTGACTGAAGACGAAATAGTAAGAAGACGAAATAATAAGAAGACTTCATAGTGATTTGAAGTGCTAGTTTCTGTGTTGAGATCCGTTTCCAGGACACGAATAGTGAAGATGAACAATCCTAGTGTGTGTACAACGGTGAACTGTAAAGTGTATTAAACCAGCGATCAAATCAAACAGTCCTTTGTGGAATGCATTATGCCACGCTCCTTTGCGACTTTAAATGAATTATTCAACTTCCTTGGTGAAGGTTTTGTTGTACCAAGCGCTGAAAGTGGAACAGGGCTAAATTTTCTTAGTAGTTCATGTAATAATTTTAAAGTATACATAATATATAGCTTTCAATGATATTTAATTGTAGATAACACTTATGTTCTACCCGAAACCATACGTATTAAAGTAAATTTAGAGAAAAATCAACTGCTTTAATCTGCATAATATTTGCAAGCAAATGGGCCAAGAATGATAGGGATTAGTACTAATAAAGATATACAATTTTATGTACATATTATAAGTATCAGTAAAAGTAAAGTCTGCTGAAGTCGATGAAATTGGCAAGAACATTATATCCACTTTGCGAATATTTTCTGTTCCTACGGTTTTCATTCCAAAGAACTTATTCAGAGAGACGCGACACAAAGACATTGCTCTTAGTTATTTCCGTGCAGCATCACGAATCGTAACATATGTGTCATCACGTACCCTCACACATTAACAGCTGGGTGGGTTACTTTACTATCACATTCAGATAAGAACTTGGTTCGAGATAAAAGGAAAGCGATCAATAATCTAGCTTAAGCAGTATTAACATCTGGACTGAAATTATTTGTTTATAATCCGATTAAGAGGCACCACATGAGAACGTTAAATAAACTACAATTAAAACAGAAAATTAATTAAATTTCCGAAACCTGATTGTGTTCATTGCTCGAAAGGATTAAATTTCTAACTAACTATATAACACAGAGATGATCTTGAGAATCTAATAGTGCTTAGTTACTTAAATTTCCTGTCATTAACGGAACGCGAATATTTTATTGCCTTGTCCACAAGAGCTCGTCACTAGTCCCTTACCAGAGCCAGATGAATCTACTCAACAACCTACAACCTTGTATTAAGTTCATTTTTATATTTATCTTCCATCTACGTCTGGGTCTTCCAAGCGTTCTAATGACTTCAAACTTTCCACCAACAATTTTTTACTTGTTTATCACTTCTCCCATGCATGATCTTCGTAATTGCAAGTATAAACTCTATGAATCCAGTATGCGTATTTTAAATTTTTGTGTCTATTACTTCAAGAATTCTTCCGAGTTTAAGAAAATCGGGAGGATTCTAGTAATTTTTCATATTTTGCCTAGAAATATTTGAATTCAGAATCTGTTATATCAGATGAATAATATTAGACAATCAGAATATTGCTTTCTGCCTTAAGAGAGGCCCGTTATTTTTTTAAATTATCAGCAATCAAATATGAGGACAGTACAGTAAAGTATTAGTTATGGAACTGGTAACTGCTCATTTCCAAAATACTAACGCTAGAGTTGTTCTCTTCGAGATTAATGTGAATGACTGACCTGTACGAAATGTTGAACGCTTTCCAGCAGCATTCCATACATGATGTCTGTTCTGTACGAATACGGAGGACTACAAGAGTAAATTAAAAACTAACAACAAGCTGTGGAAGAGATTACACGTATGTGTAGAAGTAGCGGCAATTTCTTATGCCTAAAATTAATTTTAATATTTTGAATTTTAATATAACTGAAGATTCATCACATTTCACTTGACCAAACACAAAACTATGAACTTTCACATAACACTGTCCGCTATCTTCAGTCTGTTGCATCATTGAACCGACACCCACAACAAGTGTTTCATTGTCGGTGTCTTTGGTACCTCCGCACATACAGACACCCACCTCTATAGTCTTGTGTTTGTGCATGCGTGTTGTCTGCTACTGTAATCCATGTCATGCGTGGAAGGTCCTGGCTAGAGTAGCCTAGGTCTAAACCCACCAGTCTGTAGGACAGCTACAGCCGTTGTAACTTAGCCTATAGATCGTAGCCTCTATCAAGATTACATTCACAGTGAAATTAAAAACACGTTGAGACTCGAAAATATCTATTACAATTAAGTTAGAGAACCTTGTGTCTTATATACATAAAAATAAATATTTACATTTACTCGTATATACGGATAAACCCTAAGTTTCAAGATCAGGAAACATTAGTTTTACGTACGTTGGTTATGAGTTCTTCACAGCCGTCACTTCTAGGCTGTAACACTGTATCAGTCAGTAAAATTCAACCGATATTTTGGGGGAACGTATCGCGTTATTTTCAGACTAAAAGAGTAGCCACCTGCTTAATGTTGGTTTATTGTTTGGCTTATTTTTCGATAATGAAGATGGAGGTAGTACATTCCTCTGAAACTTAGCAGGAATTTTACAGAAATACACAACGTTACAACAAAGAATATCATGTTCTGTATAATCGTACTTGTTTTTATAAAGGTTGGGAAAATAATCTCTCACCGTTAGGAAGAACACAGGCTGAGGGTGTTTGGGAACAGGAAATCGATTAAACTCTTTGGATTTAATGAAGAAGAAATAACAGGGACGGAAGGAGGGAATCTATTGTAGGGGCTTCATAACTTTTACTAAAAAATATTACTAATTAACAAACTAACTAATCAATTAATTAAATAACTAACTAGCTAGCTAACTAACTAATTAACCAACTAACGCCCTAAAGCTGTCCTTCTAGAGAAGCTGCCAGTCGCTCAGCTACTCAGGAATTTCCCAACATTTTATGGAACTCGAAGGCTCATTATCGTCTTCTCTTGAACCCTTCATTGGTGCCCATCCTGAGCCAGATCAATCCAGTCCATAGCACACCACTCTATATGTTAGATCTATTTTAATATTATCCTTCCACCGACTTACTGGTCTTACCAGTGATATCTTTTCTTCTGGCTTTCCCACTGAAATCCTATATATATATATATTTCTGTACTGCCAATGCATGCTATATCCCCTGCCCATCTCATCCTCCCTACCTTTATCATTCTAATTATATTTGGCTAGGAGTACAAGCTATAAAGTTCTTCACAAAATGATTCAACAAAGGAGGTACGTAGCAGGTATGTGAGACATAAAATGTGCATACTTAGAGAGGAGGCTAATATTAACAATAGATTATAAGGAGTATGGGGTGAAAGTGTGAACTGGATTCATTTGACTCAGGACAGGAACCAGTTGCGGCTCTAGTGAACACTTTAGTGAGTGTAAGGGTTCTGTAAAATAATTTATTTGAACATCTGAGCGACTGTTATATTCCCAAGAATATTCTTCCTCCTTAGAGTTAGTAGTTCGCTAAATCCATCATAAAAACAATCACATCTGGTCTTTTAGTAAAAATTAAACTCAGAGTGTCATTGAAGAAAATAGAGTTTGTTTATGACAGACAGAGGTATTACATTTTCTGTGGAGTCAGTGAAGTACTGTATAACATAACTTTAAATTTGTGTGCTCACTTTGAAGGTAAGGACGATATAAAGAAATAGAATTCACAGAACTCTTGTAGTACGCTATGATTCCATACATACGTGTTTAAGACAAGCATAATTCCTTCAACAGTCACTGCCTCCCGAGTATTTGAGAGTAACGGGTCGATATCGGGCTATTGAAAGTAACAGTTACAGTGAAAAGAGGAACGTGTCCTCGAAATACGATTTCAGAAATATTCATAATACATGGAGTTAGAAAAATTCAAACAATGTTACCTGTGATACACGTGTTACAACATACTTACGCTTTCATCTCTCTCTAAACAAACACTGTTTAAGGGATAAAAGTGTAGGAGCGGCAACAATAATGTAGTTATAAATGACGTGTATGTAGGTACACGTTAAAGAAATTTACTCAGAAAACAATACTAACAGGATCAGGTGATCACTGTTATGTCATCCAACTGAGATTATACGGATTAGAAAATTGTGTTTGTTGACGGACACAAAAATATTTGAAGGGATATCTGTCTTATAGTTAATGTTGTAAAGGTAAACGATAAAGGTCTTCCTGGGCTCAATTAATTAAGCACCACGCCCTTAAGACGTATGGGGAGTGAAGGTATGGCTCCACATTTTTTTTACTTCAGCACTAGACGGCAGTGAATAATTAGCTTCACGCCCCGGCCTCTTATATCACGGTACCCATTCGATTGGAGGCTGTGTGGCCCCCAGAGCCGGTCTTCACTATGTGGAGAAGGAATAACCTCTTGCCTCTGTCGGGATTCGAACCCTGGCCGTCCATAGTTCTCGTAGTTCATATTGCACGTCAAAACTAAATGCATGAAGCTTGAAGTTCTCACGGTGGTGTCTATGAAGAGTACAGTCTCCTGTGGCGTGACGCGGTGTAGTCTGGTAGCAGATCAAGGAAAAAATAAAACCCGCAATTATCTGACAAATTAGCGTAATATGACGCTACTGCCCTCTACTGCCGTCAAGTAATGACGAGTACTTGGTGTCGACGAGAAGAATCAACCATTGGTCGATAGATCGAAGTGCATGTGAGATATCGAAGTTTCAAACATATTGAAAATATCAACATAAACATGGCCTCCGCCTGTAGTGAAGATTTGCCCATTTCTCCGATAGATACTACATCTGTGACTGAATCAGTTAATTCTTCTGGCAGCAAAAGTTTATCACGTTCTCCATCAAATTCATCTATTAAGGAAGACAGATGGCCTGCACTAATAATTTCCAAGGAATCAAGAACTGGCGTAAGGAGAGTGATCAAGTGTAAGAGCATATATTTTATATTTATTTTTGTTGACATTTCTCCAAATCCTGCGAGAGTTTGGTGTGTTTTCTAAGTGGTTTGCCGCTAAAGCAGTATACCTCTCGAACGAACACTGCCATTTTGTAAGACTGAGGGAACAGATTATGATCTTCAAATTACATTGTATAGTTTATAAATAAGTATAAGCCCATCAAATGTAAGTACTTATACTACTTATTCATACATATTAAGGGGTGTTACAGTGCAAAATGGCTCATATTATAAAGGTCATGTAATTTTCCTCTCCAGAACACAGTGTCATGACATGCAGGATCACAGTCTAATCTTCAGCTCATTAAAAAATTGCAAATCTTACACAGAATGGGAGGAGCCATCTCCTTCCTATCATAATGGTGAACTTGTGACTTTCATTCACACATCATTTATTTGTCCAGTGGATTAATATACACCTAATAGTGGATATGACATGATGGGACATTAAAATGACACAATTGAAGACAAATGAGTGAAGAAAAGTATACAGTTATAAAATTTGAAACATAATACATATTAAAGTATGTATATTGTATCATGGTTATAATAATTTTCATTTCATGCATCCTGTTGTGTTATAACCATATAACTTCTTTATTATGACCATCACAGCACAACCACATCTAGGTCAGTGCCTGGTTTTGGAAAAAAAAAAATTATATGGTTATAATAATTGCAAATCAGATTGGATATGTAATAAAGAGCATATTAAAATGGCCCAATTGAAAGACAAAAATTAAAAGAAAGGTAAAACGATTAAAAGACTTAATGTAATATTTCCAAGAAAAAGCCTGCCTGCTTTTTCCATGAAATTTTGTGGTAGAGGCATTTTTCTTTACAAATTTTATTCTCAAAAATGTGTACTTCCAGACTTTGTGACTGGTGGCTTAAAAAGCCCCATAAAAGTGAAAAGCTATCCCCGTAACAGGCCATGAAGGCCCATAGGGTTGTGAGATGTTGAGAGTGCCATATTTTCTCAAGACATTCGGCTCATAGATGGCAGTAAGGTTGTCAGCCTTATGTGCCAGCTGACATCACCCCCCCCCCACTCCCTCACCCCAGAAGATTCCTGGTTCTCATTTCTATTAGAGGCTGAGCTGACCCCAGGACCATAGTGTGGCTGGAAGGATTAGGTAAATTGAAAACGCCACCTCATTGGGATTTGTACCCACATCCTTCCAGCTTGTAGCATAGTGCCTCAACCAGCTACACTAACGCAGGCCCTAAAAAGTCCCCATGGCATGTAGTAATTTTCAGTTTGTATGACATGAATTTTAAATACGTATAAGATTGTGTAGTTCACTGTTAGTGCAAACCATGTGTGGGATTTTCCTCTTCAACATAGATATTGATATATAATTAGTGAAGTCTGAGGAGGCATTGACCATCATTCTTGCAACAAATATTCCGATTATTGCAATGATTGTATGTTTTCAGAAATATATATCCTTCCTTGTGTTCCTTGTTTGCTCAGGCACGAAGGTTGTGGAGGAAATCTTTTTTTAAAGGTGATAAAAATCTGTATCACAACTTCCTTTTGAAAGGAAGTAAAGCCAGGGGTCTCATGTCATACATTTATGACACATAAGAGAAACTTTCACTCATGATACGAGATGAGCGAAGTCAAAATTAGATGCTATTTTTGCCATTTGACACTCCCTACTCTGCTCCTAGATGTTGCTGCAGTCACATGACTGTGCAGACGTGTGGTAGACAAGTGAGAACAACTTGCAACCACCCAACCCAACTGAAGAGTGCTGGATAACTGGATAATGTAGTTTGCCCAAGTGGTGTCCAGATAGGAAATGTGTTACAAATATGCCAACCAGTTCAGATTAAAAGTACAAATGACTTAATTGTCAAAGTGAAGCATTAGAAACCAGCTTGTATTCTCATGCTTTGTTCTAGCCTGAAGGTTGAAACATACAATGCACCAGCACACATGCAACTTTTGACAAGTTTGCTGGGACAGATTGACTGTTTGCAGAAAATCCAGGGTCTTCCTCATTAAAATGTTTGCTAAGGATGGGTCTGTAACGCCATCCGAAACAAGATTTGTGGCTGTGTGGCATTTTGTGACATTTGGTATATTTTATGTCTGATGTGTAGGCACATGTGTTTTGGTTGCATTTTAGAGCTATTTTTTTGGCCGGATATAGGCTTGAGGGGATTTAATGGTGACCTTGGTTAATCTAATCACTATTTTCCCATAAGGGCTTGGTCTTGCCGCTGTTTTCAGGAATGTAACCCTTGCATTGGGGAGTGATTGCTGTTTTTAGATAAAAAATATGTCTCAGTGGCACTCCACCCACCACAAGCCTCTCATGGACTTCCAGGTTGAAAACCTGGACCTCTGCAATGAAATGCCACTGTCTATCATTTGACCTGCTGAATGACATAATATTTCCTATGACATTCATGAAACAACTGCAAAATGTATTATGATGTTATATAAATAGATCTCTCACACACAGCTCTCAGATTCACGACCTTACTCTTCTCAAAGGAATTTTTAATGAATTTTTAATTTTTAATTATTTATGTCTCATGACTGTCATCTGTATTTTTGTGGCTGAAGTTTTTGAGAGTTATCAACTCTGTATGTTATTTTTCTGTGGTCATTCAGTATCAGGACTGTAAAGGGTAGGACGCAGAATATAAAGCCTTCATTACCTTATAGGCAACCATACCTTCAAGATGTAGATCAAGTTATGACAGATGAAACACTGGGAACTGAACCATTACAATACAACCTTTATATGTGTTTGGGGGAATGTTACTACAAAGATTTAGATTAGCTAATGTTTAATTTTTAAGTTATGATTTATTGTTATAACATTTTGACATTAATGTATAACCATCACAACTGAGTGGAATACAAACCATCACCTTCTGTAAAATCTCTTTTCTTCTATACCACACTCTTGTTTAATAACCGCATAATCTGCACATTTTATTCTGTGGTATTCCCACATTGAAACTGTAATCTTATTAAACAAACTTTTCTCCTGTCTTAATCAGAACTTTCATTGGCAGAACACAGTTCTTTCACTGCATCATAAAGCCATGGTCATTAGATGTATGTGTATTCCTTTACCACCAGCCCCCATGAAGTATTTAGCACCACAGAGCGCCAAGGGATATTTCCTTGTTTGGTATAAAATGAGTGAGTTTCATTTTGTTAGTAAAACACTTCCTTTTGGTAGAAAAAATGGGTATTNGCAACACACAAGGAAACTCTGATAAGAGACTGTTACCGATGCCAAATCAATAATAATTTTCAAAAATTTCCATGATTTATTCTGACCCTCTTACAGTGCATACATTTATTCACTTTACTCTTCTCTCTTGCACTACATGTTTCAGCACTAAAGTGCCATCTTCGGGTGCTTTTCGATGTACGTCGAACTACTTCATTGCATGCCTTGTTGTCTTTATACTAAAATAACTAAAATATATATTCGTCATATATATTTTAGTTATGAAGTTTATTTATGAAGTAGTTCGACGTACATCGAAAAGCACCCGAAGGTGGCACTTTAGTGCTGAAACATGTAGTGCAAGAGAGAAGAGTAAAGTGAATAAATGTATGCACTGTAAGAGGGTCAGAATAAATCATGGAAATTTTTGAAAATTATTATTGATTTGGCATCGGTAACAGTCTCTTATCAGAGTTTCCTTGTGTGTTGCCAAGCAGCATCATTAGTATGTATCATGTGTAAAACTGATATGGTGGACAGTTGGAGTTAGATTTAGCCACTCTGTAATTTGGTTACTATTAAAATGTTTTTGATCGCAGAAATCAAACTGTGTGGCTGGAGAACACATAGTGGTAAGGTATGTGATAAAACGTCTGTCATTGGAAGGTTGCCCTGTTAGGAGTGATACTTTGTTATCATGGCAGTGTGTTTTAAAAAGAAAGTGTTGTGAACAGTTATCATATTCAGTTAAATCACGGAAATATAAAAAGTGAAATTGTTGTAAAACTAATTATACATTAACAAAAGTCAAGTCACTTATTATTTCAGGCTGAAGCTAAAAATATAAATTTCAGTGTCAAGCTTTAACACATTGTGTGTTCTCCATATACAAAAATATAGTTCCTCCACTGTAATGTACAGTTTTAAATGTCTCTCAGTCTGAGGGTGCCACAAAACAAAATTCTGAGAGTAATAATTTGATCTAAATAGAGTAAAATGAATGAAGAGCAGACTAAAAGTAAAATATGTAGTAAGAAGACCTAATGGTTTATGCTCTCATAAATGTGGTTTCCCTTGAGCAATATATCATAGAGTCAAATTCTGAAGAACTGCTAGGTGTATCGGAAAGTTCCAGGCCAAGATAAAAAACGAAATGCCGGATAACTTACTCAATTTTGGCTGATTCAAAAACACCGTGGAAATAATTTTCCTTAATGCTGTTGAGTACGGCTTGCGATTCCCTTTGGATGTCAGACACTGTTTCAAAACGTCGTCCTTTCAATTTCATTTTCAATTTGGGAAACAGAGCGAAATTACAGGGGCCTAAGTCCAGCAAGTAGGGGGGATGGAGAACGATAACCATGTTCCTGTTAGTCACAAACTCTGTGGTTTTCAGGGACGTGTGGACGGGTGCGTTGTCATGGTGAAGGAGCCAGTTGTGGTTGCACCAAAGTTCCGGTCTTTTTCGTCGCACATTTTCTCTCAAGCGGCTCAAAACGTCATAGTAAAAGTCAGAGTTGACTGTAGTGTTACGAGGAACAAATTCACGATGAACATTCCCCTTCAAGTTGAAAAAAAAGCAATGACTTCGGACTTGCCGTGCCGTTTTTTTTTTTTTTTTTTTTTGCTCTTTTTGATTGTGGGCTCTTTCATTGCGACAGTTATTGCTTTGTTTCGGAACATTACATAAATCAAACTTCGTCACCCGTTATGATCCTAGAGATAAAGTTGGGTTCTCGTTAGCCTTCCCACACACCTCAAGACACGTGTTTACGCGCTGCTGCTTTTGATCATTTGTTAGGAGTCGGGAAGCAAACTTCGCGGCAATGCGGCGCATGTTAAAATTTTCCGTTAAGATCTCCTGGCAAACTCCACAAACAACTGACTCAGACAGTGTCTGCGAGCTCATGGATTATTCGGCGACGGTCTTCGTGGATGAATTATCGATTTTTTTTAAACATTTTCTGTCGTTTTGCTGGTCAGAGTTCCTGTCTACAGATCCAGAGGTCCCGGGTTCGATTCCCGGCGCTACCAGATTTTCTGAGAAATAGTGGGTCTGGAACGGGGTCCACTCAGGCTCGCGAGGATAATTGAGCTACCTGAATGGAAAAGTAGCGGCACCGGTCTAGAAAACCGAGATTAACGGCCGTGGGGATCCGTTGCGCTGACCACGCGACACCCTCTATCCACGAAAGTTGGCACTAACTTCGCCGACAAGCGGCCGTCGCTCGGTCGGTATAGTTCGCTTGCGGACTACAGGACACGGAGTTTGTTTTTGTTCTTTTGCTGATGCTTGGTCGCCCTTAACGTTCGTCGTCTTCATCTGACACTCGCCCGGCCTTGAAACGTGAATGACCTTGAAAAACAGCTGCCCTTCTTAAAACATATTCTCCAAAAGTTTCACGAAGCATTTCAAGGGTTTCGGTAGCGGATTTACCGAGCGTCACGCAACACCTGATGCAGACACGTTGCTCGATTTTGCCATCCATCGCAGGCAAAACGAAACACGAAGTCGAAAAAGCACTGGTGTAAAAAGGATACGCGGTCACAGCGCACTGTCACGTGGCTGACTAATGAAATAGGCTTGCGGAAGTGTGATCTTGGTCTCCTTCTCATCTTCTTTCACCTCAGCAGTTACAACAATAACAGGTCGGGAATGGTTTGTGAAACAAACTGTGGACCCACAATTTACCCTTATCTTTACATTTGACAGAAGAGAATTTTAGAGCCTTGAAATCCTTCATCCAAGGATAGTAGTTGAAGAGAAATACCATAGTAACATGCCTGAGGAGCGGTAATTAAGCATATTATTAGTGATACAGTAAACCCTTTCTAATCCAGATTAATTGGGAGAGAGGTCATCTGCATTAAGCAATAATCTAAATTAATGAAGCAAAAGGGAGCCCTAAAAGACATAAAAGGCTTAGAACACAAGTAAATGGAAAATGATATAAGTAGTTCATATGTAAATAAATAAAAATATCACTGTAGAGCCTTATTTAAAACTATAAAAAAACAGTGCATTTATTCATCGATAGAAGACTCAGACGTTGTAATTGTTTTTGAACAAAATAGTGAAGATTTGAAGAAATTGTCAAGTTTTGTCTGAACAAACAAGTGACTCATCTGCCTTCCTTAATGTCCTGAGTGTTTTAAAGGATGTACTCAACTGTGAACAGTATTTTTCGTGTTTCATGTTCCAATCTGGATTAACTGTAACCGAATTAGAGAGGGTTTACTGTATGTCATAGGTAGACATGAATAAGGACAAAGTCTTTGTTTTGATAGTGGCAGTACACACACAAGTACCCGTTTCCATTAGGGTTGTCAGAAAAAATTAAATTGTGGTGTAGTTACCTGAAATACAGAGTAATAGCAATAGAAAGAAAAATAATACGATTTACCTTTAATGTTCAACAATACATTCTGCAGAGATAATTTTGTTAAAACAATGAAGAACTATGTGTTGCATATGTAGAGGCATCATGAGAGATCATAAAAACTATTCAGTGAAATATTTCTGTAGAGATAACTGTTATTGTTTTGGCCATCGTTTTGTAAAGAGACCAAACAATTGTGCTCAAGCAGTAATGCTTCTGACTTGTGTTCAGGAGGTACCTGGTTTGAATCTTGGCTGGGACAGTGAGTATCATGAGGGTTTTTTGTGGTTTTTCTCAGTCTCTCCATGCAGATGCTGGAATAGTATCTCAAACTAGGCCAAGATCATTTCCTTCCATATCTTTTCTAATTCATTATTAACTGTTATCCTCCAACCTACAGTGTCTGAGCTACTGACAGAATTATTAAATGGACCAGAGATAAATAAGATAAGTTTTTGTAAAGATACCAGGAGTTAATGATTCCTCTTACCATGTCCTGTTGTCAGTAGCTCATGTGCAGTTACCAAATGACTGCAGTCTTGCGTTCTACAGCTAGGAGTATTGATTTCCACACCATCACTGTGGTGCCATCTGAAGTGGTATGTTGTGGGAAATCAATAACAGTGGGACTTGTATTTTAAGGATAGTGACCATGAATATCAGTATTCCTTTCCTGAATTGTGATGGTTTGATTAATTTGCTTTTGGTATTAAGAATGAGTATTACAGTTTGTGTCTTCAGAAAGTCAGAGATTAGAATTGGCAGCATTTTTCTAACATGTGAATGACATTAAGTAAGAGGCTGCCTATTCTTGAAACAGTTTATATTCTTTTGTTGATATGAGGAGATTGGTATGATAAAGTATCTGTTAGTATATAACAGTTTCATCTTACTTGCTAAAAAATGCACATTAATGAGATGTCAGCATTGAACAGGCTTGTGGTTCCGGTTCCTAAGTGTATATTAAAGTGGGTGGATTGTGAAGTTTGAATAGCTTATTGCCTTTTCCTGAAAGTAATATATGAAGAATTTCATCTTTCACTAATTTTGCTATATATTTAAGTATTACAGTATTGTTGTTATTCTTAAACGAACTGAAATTAGAACTTCTAAAGTCTTTCACCATAATTACTAACGTTAGAAGCAATTATAACCGTTGCTTGCAACGGAGAACCTGCTAGAATGATTGATCAAGATATGGCAGGTGCACAAGACACCATCTATCTGTGCAACTTTCGTGTGTCTGTTGATGGTGAATGGCTCTGCTTGAAAGAATTGCAAGATGTGGAATTCACAGTCCCAGAATCTTCTTCTCAGCCATCAACTCCATCCCCTGATGAACATCTGCCATTACTTGGTATGCCTGCAAAAAAATTTACTTATTATATGAAATACATGTGTGCATGAATGAATGTTTCATGGCCATTCAGTGCAGTTTTCCCCTACATCAGTTGTGAGTGCTGTGACTTAAATGTTAAGCCACAGAAGCAAAATATGAAGTATTTGTGAGAAAAATGGAAAAAATTATGTCAGTATTATTTCATTGTTGATTAATTTTTAATTGTATATCTTCATATCACCTCGTTGGTGAGGGTGTTTGAGTATGCCAAGGACCCTGAGAGCTATACCAGCGGTAGCGTAGCTACTGGCAGGGCCTCCCTTGCTGGACAGGTCAAAGGGTAGGCATCAGACGAAGAGAGACACCGAAAACTGATGCCGGAAGCAGCGTCATCAGCGGCGACTTGAAGCACAGAGAAAATGATGCTCGAGATGGTTCAAGTTCGTATAGCAACAGGCGTGACCAGAGTGGTTTGAACGGCTGTTGTACTGCGATGTGGAAAGCAAATGGAAAAACTACCACATTATCACTATTCCTGGATAGTCTCTTTCCAAAAACAGAAGATCGCATTAAGTGGAGAAACTGTTTTGGAAGAGGCTGTGGACCTGTCATCTGACAGATTACTGATGAATGAATGAATCTTCATATGTTTTATCAGTATGCAGTATCTTTTCATGAGATACAGGAGTAGTGTAATTTTATCATTATTTTATGGATAGACCCAACATTCTGGCATATTCTGATAGAATATGATTTAATTTCATGTTTTATTATATGCAGGAATTCTCAGCCATTTATGTAAAGCTTTTGGGATCATAGATTCTGGTAGTCCAAGCTATAAACTCTGATGCAACATTGATGTCTTGAGGCTCATTATGTATAACTTATTTGCTCAATGACTTGCTGATGTATGCGGTGTGCCTGCTAACTTTCCATTTAAAATGCTAGGTGTTTTGTTTACTGATGTTGCCAAGAAGATATTACTTTGTGATACGGAGTATCTTTTCTGTAGTCATGGTAAAATTTCCATTGCATTTTACAAACGCTGTGCCTGCAGAGATTTCCTATAAATCTAGGAGCCAGAATAAGAAACAAAATACTTGAAGTGAGAATTATGATAATTTTAATTAACACAAGTAAGCCTATAAGTGATTCTAACTTCATGTTCACACTCCTTGCCATCTCTATGCAACTTTGTTGATATATTAATATTCACACATCTTCATCTATTCTCATTATACAACACTCCATGTTTCACCCTAACTGGCCATCATCAGGTGTATAAGATGTTGGATTAAAGGAACCTGCTGCTTGAGTATCATGCTGCTCTGCTTTTCATTTCGATGTAAAATGCTTCTAAAATATTTTATTTTAGGTTACTTTGTAGATTATCATGCCATTGTTACTTTATTTGTATGCACGTGTTGATGTATGTTTTGTTGGTGTGTTGGTTTCATCCTTATGTGCAGTGTGTAACTGTTATCACAAAAAAATTACATAACCACCCACATCTGCCATATGCATACAATATACGCAGCTCTGTGCATCACGTTACAGATCTAAAAACCATGGAAATTAACAAACACATGAGAATATGCTCATTTGACATAAAAAACGTATGCATTACTATACCAAAAATAGAAACTATGGCCATAATAACCAGCATACTAAAAATATACTCAGGTATCAACAAAAATAGCCAAAAGTAAATAATACACATACTAGACACAAGGAGTGAGAACTTGAAGTTAGAATACCAAGTGCAACAGGATGCTGCAGTATGATCCTCTAACCAGTTTCTTTTGTCCTTGAGTAAAACCCAGTGTGCACCCCTGGGTTACAGGGAAATTGTAAATATTCCCTGCTCTTGCTATGAAATGGGAAGAGGAACAATGATGTAATGTGCAAATAAGAGAGATGGGAAAGAATATGGTAGAAAGGATGGAGATAAATGTATGAAGAGAACTGAGGTACAGTAGAAAGGGTGAAGGAAATATAATGTGAAGGGTGCAAGGGAAGAAGTGGGACAGGAATGAAGGTGTAATGATCAAGTAAAAGGGACAGGAAATCATTAAAGGAGAATGAAGGGAATGAGGTAAAGAAAAAATGAATCTTCAAGTAGCTGTATAAGCATATCTAATTTATTTTCTTGTGCTAGTTAAACACTAATAGAACCTTGACGTGTTTCTGTTGTAAAGTACCATCTTCACTGGGGGCGGGTGGGGATACCAGATATCAAAGGTAACTTTACAGTTTGTATGTATGAATAAAATATGACCGTAAGTCAATAAGTGAGTTACAAATGGATATAGAACTTAAAGAGAGTACTGATTTGAAAAATGCTTTTATTTCTCAACATAATCGCCCTGTACATTGAGGCATGTGTCCCATCATTTCACAAGCCCCTGAAAACCAGCAGCATAACATTCTTTGGGCTGCTGTCTGAACCAGTCGGTGACTTCCCTTTTACAGCTTCATTGTCGGAAAAATGTTCAGCCAAAAGATGATATTTAAGAGGGCCAAACAAATGGAAGCCGCTTGGAGCAAGGTCGAGGCTATATGGAGGATGCTCAAGGACTTCCCACTTGAAATTTCGCAGCATCACATTTGTCTAATTGGCAGTATGGGGATGTGCGTTGTCATGCAAGAGCAACATGACTTTGGTTAGGAGTCCTGGTTGGTTTTGTTGAATGGCCTTACGAAGTTTCCTGAGGATGTTACAGTAGGCGCCGGCATTTATGGTTTGTCCTTGAGGCTGGAATGTGAGTGAGCAGTATGCCTTTGTGATCCCAGGCACCGCCTGGTTCTGACAGTAGCCCAAAGAATTTTATGCTGCTGGTTTTCAGGGGCTTGTGAAACGATGGAACAAGTGCCTCAATGTACAGGGAGATTATTTTGAGAAATTAAAGCATTTTTCAAATCAGTACTCTTATTTGTTTAAGTTCTATGTCCATTTGTAACTTACTTATTGACTTACCTACGTATATGAAGATCAGAGTCATGAAATTTTTATAAAAACCTTAAAAACTAATATTATAGTAAAATTCACTGATGTGAAGCATGGTCAGGTGCACCTTTCTTGCTAATTGGTATGTTATGCTGTGTTGCATATTGCTACCTCATGCTCATTTTTAAGGTGGCTGTAAATATAACATAGAGTTGTCAAGTCATGCTCATTTCTGACCGAAATGTCATGGTTTTAATAGTATTCAGTTAGCATAAGAAAAATTCGATATACTACCATAGTGACTTTACATCTTATTTTAACACAAGAATTACATAAGAAAAATTAACGTTATCAGACAAGGTAAAATTATAAGTGGAATAAAGGAAACAAAAGAATAAATATGTGACTCATACTATATCCAGTGGTTTGTGGATATACTTCTCAACCTGTATCTGGATCTGTAATAATATAATAGAAAATTTTAAGCACCATGAAAATTCTTGACACCATGCCAATCTGGCATCTGGAATTTTTTTTTAGCATATGACAGCATACACAGTGCTTTCTCTTTAACTTTAATTGTTGAACCAAGGTGAATAAAGGCCTGATCACAGATTTCAGGCAGGAATTGCTGCATCTGAATGCCCTTTGTAGATCTATTGCTGCACAGCAATAACCCTTTGAAACAGTTTCATACTTTTTTGATAATGCAGCAGTTTACCTCAGAATATGATATAAACGCATTATTATGTTTAAATATTAAATAGATTAAAAGGGAAGTTTATATTCAGGCCTCTTAGAATTCACAAAACATAATTGTTGCAGTTTATTTTTTTTCACATGGTGAATATAAGAATTTTAATTACTCTTAAATTTAAGCTGTTAGTACAACATATCTATACATTGTACCATATTTATTTTTAATCGTTATGTATATTGTATTATAAGAGTGAATGTACAGAATGTTTTGGTTGGAACGACACCTGTGTGATGACTTGTTGAGAGTTGAAATATGTCGGGGTAATGCATAAATGAATATTACTGTATCTTGCAATTTGATGATGTTTCCTATCTTATATTAAATCATTATTACAGTTGACTTACTGTATAAGATTTGGCAGTACAGAAAAATGTGTAATTAAAGAAATTTTCTTTTATTTCAGCTCGAGACCCTGTAATGATTGAAAGAAGCAATTTAGTTAACATATCAAAACTAATAGTGAAGGAGCTCATAGAAACATCACTCAAGTATGGTCGAATGTTGGATTCTGACAGTATGCCTCTGCAGCATTTCTTTATAGTTCTCGAACATGTGTTAAGGCATGGATTGAAACCAAAGAAGGTAATAGTGTTGCTTGGATCATATATTTGAATGCTTGTAAACGTTTTGTGTAATTGTGAGTAACAGTATTTCACATATTTTAGGTATATTTATGATCATGACGTCCATTATTGGAAGAAATACAAAACATAGCTTTCAAGAAGCTCTTCTAAATAAGAATCTTTCATGAAAGTAATGACAATGATACCGGAGATACCATTTCTGACATCTCTGCCTATCAGCAGAAATATAGTCTGCAGCTAGTGTTTTCTGTGCTCTTGTGGCACATTTTTTTTTCTGTGGCGCTACAGCCCCAATTTGGGCCTAGGCCTACCTCCATGAAACTCCGTTTCACTTCGGTTTACTAGATCTTAAACGTTCGGTAGGACTCCTTGGGCGAGTGATCAGCTCGTCGCAAGGCAAACTTGTGGCACATTATATTATCATAATATCATGCAGCACCATAACAGTTTTACTGTATAGAGATATGCCATGTTTAAAAGAGAAAAAAGTTATTTACATGAATATTACAGAATGAATAAGTTAGATGTACTGTGTGTGCATTATTGTTACTGCCTGATTAGTATTTAATAGGTTTTAAAAACCTTGGTATGCTTTGTTTACTCAGGCAAAGTGATAAGTCAGTATGTGAAATGTAGGCATCACATTTACTACAATAAGAAAATAACTTACTTTTTGTCTCCTATAAATACGAGGGGGTACCCAAAAGAAACCGAACTTATTTTTTTTTTAACTTATTTATTCAAATTTTAAGCACAAACCTTCAGTCCCCTTCAAAGTACTCTCCACTTACACTAAAACACTTGTCTAGTCTTGTATTCCATTTTTCAAAACATTGTCTAAATTCATCTTTTGAGATGCTTGACAGTGCCTCCATCGTTTTTTCCTTTCATGTCTCTTTTCAATCGAGGAAACAAAAAAAAGTTGCACGGGTCAAAGTCGGGTGAGTATGGAGGGTGAGGAACAGGGGTCATACCATTTTTGGTCAAGAATTGTGGTACAGCAGGGCTGTGTGAGCAAGGGCATTGTCATGATGGAAAAACCAGTCACCTGACTGCCACAAATCTGGCCGCTGAGCTCCAAGTCACTCCTGACAGCTCCACAATTTCTTCAATGGTCCGTCGTCGATCATCCTTGATGATTTCACGAATTTTTTCAACATTTTCATGTGTTTGGGCCGTGGAAGGACGACCAGAACAAGGTTTGTCATAAATTGACATTTCACCATTTTTGAAACAGGAAAACCACTCAAACACTTGAGTTNGCTTATCGACTCAGGAATGTTAGCTCTATGCGCTCATAGCGGCAAAACGCGGTACTACAAAAGCTCTGCCCACAAAAAAATTAGTTCGGTTTCTTTTGGGTACCCCATCGTATATGGTAACTGATTTTGTTGCCTAGTTCGGCTTTAAGAATAGCTGAATTTGTCTAAGTGATGTGCATGTATGATCACTGTTTCAAAATCAAAATTTTAAATGGATTTGATCCACTAAATTATGTCATTGATCTGTGGTGTTATGTAACACTTCTTTGATAATGCAGTTGAAGTGAAATGGAAGACCCAGAGACTTTATGTGCATTTTGCTCAGTGCTGTTTTCAGACAGTACATGGCGTTTTGTGCCAGCATGCATACTGGCAAACAAGTGAAGTGTACCCGCAAACTTGTCAAAAGTTACACATTTGTCAGTGCACTGTATGTTTCAGCTTTGAAACTAAAACTGAATATGAGAGTACTGGCAAACTAGGGGGAGGGAGGGTGTTGCCCTGATTATACCCTTGGTACAAAGCCTTGAAAATGTGAACCCGAACATTGATTCACTGTGCGGCCAAATACAGTAATTAACTCATGCTAATACGTGATTTGTTCCTTTTCACAGTCCATGATATGAAAATAATTTGCGTGTTTCAGGGTCTGCTTGGACCCAAGAAGGAACTCTGGGATATCTTACAATTTGTTGAAAAATATACCATTGAAGCACAAGATATTACATCAAGTGTTAGAGATCTTCCAACTGTTAGGTGAGTGATAATGCAGCAACCTGTAGGAAACCATGGTAGTTAGTTAAGCAGCAGTTCTCAAGTCTTGGTGACACCTTCTCAGGCAAATTCTGGGCACCAGGATGGAAATGAAAAATGGATTAGAAATACAGTACACTTCCATTTATCTGTGCACAGATATCTGGATTGTGGCTTATCCATTCCTCTTTTCTAAGTTTTGCATCCCTTATGACACCTATTGAGTTCATGCAACCTGTCTAGCCATCTGTTGTACATGCATAAAATAACTTTAATGGGGACAAATTTTCATGAAAGTTGATGTTTTGTGAATTTTATGAAGAATTATGAAGTAATTTCAATTTTCATTTAGATTGCACAGTTTTAATGATCACTTAATATGGGCATGTATGTGTGTTACTACACGTATCTCATGGATAACTCATTCAGTTTTTACTGGATCAAAAAATATTTGAAACAGAAGCAGCAGAGAAAAATAAAACATACTCTATATATAGTATATTCTTCTGTAAGGTTAATGATTTTTGAGATAATTGAACAAATCTGAAGCTGTTCAACATTTATATTCAATAGTAACCATTCACTTATGATCACATCCATAACTTGGATTCTCTGTGTTTTTCAGTTATTTGCCTAGACATTTTTACCCTATTACAAAATATGCCCTTGAAGTTACTCCTGCAGATCCAGTTCTGTACATCAGTGTGTAAGATATGTATGTTCAAAAACATTTCTTTATCAGGACCCATATGGGCAGAGCTCGAGCCTGGTTGAGACTAGCTCTGATGCAGAAGAAATTGGCTGATTATTTGAAGATACTGATTGATCATAAAGAAGATCTGTTGTCTGAATACTTTGAACCAGATGCCCTCATGATGAGTGATGAAGCCATTGTAATCATGGGACTGCTGGTGGGACTTAATGTAATAGACTGTAACCTTTGTGTGAAGGTAAATGCAATACTGTATAGTTTATTTTGTTTTTAAAGTGTTTGCTGTCATAGTGTAATGTAGAACATCCTGTTTTTCTTTTACAAGAAGAATATAATGAGATGTAGCATAGCAAAAGGGGTTGTATTTTTTTCAAGTTTTTGATGAAAAATAAACCTTTAAAATATTCGATACAACACTCATTTTAGAATATTTTGAAAGAAACATTAATGCAGTAAAAACTTGTATTAAGTTTCTTAGGAGTTTTTTTCTTTTTATGAGAGAGATGTTGGTAGGACATATTACTGAATGCATTAGAAAATCCTAACTGTAACTATCAGCCACCATAAATCGTAACTTTTGTGTAGTGACAAGTAGATTATAATTTTCTTAATTTGGTTTAGCATTTTAGGTGGCTTAGAGAATTCTGTAGTTTGTCCTCCCATATACCACCCACCCCACCACCCCTGACACCCCCCACATAAACACACATGCACGCACACACACAAATCTTAATCATTATCATATTCATGGATTGGATGAAATTTCTGTTCTAGTGTGGTACTGTTCGATATTTGCTACACTTATGAATATCAGTATGTAAGTGTTTATGTAAGGGTTTAACCAACCCTTTGCCTTACCATCATTGTGGATGTCCTGACTGGAGTCCCTTCAGCTATCATTAAGACTCCTCTAGATATTTAGGAGTCTTTGAGTAGCATTAAGTGGGCCCTTGCAGTAGCGTAGTTGGTTGAGGCACTATGCTACAAACCAGAAGGTCACGGTTCGATTCCTGATGAGGTCTTTGGACTTCTCACTTGACCTAATCTTTCCAGTCGCACTATTGCCCTCTGACTGGCTCAGCCTCTAGCAGAAATGAGTACCAAGAATCTTCCTGGGGGTAAAGGTTGGCTAATGCATAAGGCTGACAACCTCACCGATGTCTGTGAGCTGATCATCTGGAAAATGTGGAAGCCTTGACTTCTCACAACCCTAAGGGCCTCCATGGTCTGTTAAAGGATAGCTTTACTTTTTTTACTTGAATAGCATGAAGTTAGTCTTTGCTTTTAAGCTTGTGGGCACATCACTGCAGTTATGGAGGTATGACTAAAGAATGAAGAATTTTAATTCCCTTATATGACACAAACACCATCCCAAGTGCAACAATTTATTGTACTTCTTTCATCTTCCTTAATTCTACACTACATGTTTCAGCCATAAATGGCCACCATCAAGTGTATACTCTCACGTAGCTGCTACACTGCACGTATTTTAAAATTTAAAAGACACTAGTCTTCCCATCTGTTCATTTCTCCGTTGCTAACGGTTTCAATATACCACAATCCTCCCCACTTATATCTGTCAGATATGTACAAAATCTTTGTTAATCTACACACATCAATTTGATTTTTAAAAACTGATACTTTTAAAATCTTCAATTCCAATTTAAATTTTTTTTTTTTCAAATTTTAAAATTTATAATTCTCAGGGGTACCCGCCCTGTCTATAGTGCTGCAGTGGCTACTTTTATGTTCAGCACTGTTCAGGTGTTATTCTGTGTAGGCTCCCTGTGTGCGTATTAATATTGTAACGTGTTTTGCGTTACTGATCCCACTTCTGACACCAGTTGTCGCGTATCGCGGGGTATATCGCGACAAATAACTTCATGCCGTATTTTATATAGCGAATTTTATTTCACATCCGCTCTCACAATCACACAAATTACAGATTTACGATTACTGCTATCTGCAGTATCACAATTAGTACACTCCAAATGCCACAATACAACTGACTAGTTGCTGGCTAACTCGGCGGTAGCTCCAGGACTCACTGACTGACTCAGTACAACTGACTGTGAATAGCCTTCGCTGCTCCTTATGTAACCTCGATCGGACAATACGGCCACGTAATAGACACCCTTGTTGCCTGGCGCTGTGTTGCTATGTAACGCTAGCGGAAGTAACCGCTGTTACTACCGTAACGTCGCCGCTGTTGACTCGCGTTGCCTAGCGACCGCGATATCCCTCGGTGACGTCACCGCGGAGGGGAGTGGTGGGGCGGGAACTCGCCTATTACCGTAGTAACGCGAGTGTTACGTTACCGCCACGTACCGCTGGGGAGGTAGGGGTCAACATGTCACAATATATTAAAATACGTATTAAAGATACGCAGCAGCACTATACCAAATGTTTGTTGATGTGATTTTCCTATGGAGAAATGAAGAAGTACAAATTGAGTTAACTGTTGTCCTTGATAACATTACACAATTATAATTTAGGTTCTAAATGTTTCGTTTTTAAGGGAATGCATTGATATAGTGCAGTGGTTCTCAAACTCCTCGAGTTCATGACCCCCTAGCAACACATTGCAAACTAAAGAACCCTGTATTCAAATTATTTGCATATCAACTTGAAACAGATTCAAATGAAATAATTTGCTTGAAGTGCTGTAATGCTTATACTATGGTTACAGAATGTTTGATACCTGTTACAATGTGTTCTCTTACCTCAACCTATTAATGACAGGGCTGGCTGAGTTTCCACTGTGTAAATAGCATAGATACCAATATGCAATTGTAGGTTCACAGCATTTGTTATACACGAGCTATTTGAAAAGTAACCTATGGTGGGGTGTTAACAAAACAAGCAATGAGAAAAAAGTTATTATAAGCAAAAAATGTGTACATACTTAAGCTATTTGTCAACATAGTGACTGCCAGAATTGTGGCACTTGTCATATTGGGGAGTAAGTTTTTGTATGCCTGTGTCAAAGAAGTCTGCCGCTTGTGAGCTCAGCCATGTTTTGACACCTTCCATCAACTTCTCATTACTGCTGAAGGGCTGTGATCCCAACCAGTTCTTCAGGTAGGTAAACAGGTGGTAGTTGCTTGGAGTGAGGTTAGGGCTGTAAGGAGGGTGGTCAAACAGCTCCCAGTTGAAATGCTCCAGCAGTGCTCAAATGCAAGCAGCTGTATGTAGACGTTCATTGTCACGAAAGAGGACTACACCAGATATCAGTATTCCACACCTTTTATTCTGAATGGCCCTATGCAGTTTTTTAATGTTTCACAATACACTTCTAACATTATTGTGGTCCTTTGTTGCATGAATTCTATCATCAGCATTCCTTTCCTGTCTCAGGTAACAGTTGCCATCAGCTTTCTGGCAGACGAGCTTTGTTTTAAATTTATTCGCTTGTTTGGTGAATATGTGTGCATCTGCAAAATTATAGTTTTGCATATTCTAAGTTCTAAGTTTTTAGACAGCAGATGAGAAAACAAAAGGTTCTGGACTGAATGCTAGGAAATATTACCCGAATTCAGTCTCCTGAGTAAAATTTTGATTTGTTGCTGTCCTTCTTGAGCCTAACTTTGATAATCTCATAGAGAACAGGGGTGAAATTTGTGGAAATTCACATGAAAGTTCTGACATTGTGATGCACCGTCTTTCATGAATTTTTTGGTCAACACTTTGAACAAGATCATCACTCAGTACAGATAGGTGGCGAACCACTTTGTTCTTCATTGTGAACATTTGTTCTCCCATCTTTGAATATTCTGCACCATTGTATTACAGTTATATTTACGTTTATTTTCACTTCATGGATCCAGTCACCTCCCTGTAGGGGTGGATATAAAACATGTCACACATTACAAATTCATGATGACTACACATTAAATATGTCCTTGGTCCAATAAAGTATATAATCAGGCCTCATGCAGACAGCACAAGTTGTCAAGACAACAGACATAGGCCATGGAAAAACCACTGTCATGTTCGACCCTCAACAAAATCCCTCATATTTCCAACCATAACAACTCCATGCTGCACAATTGCTCACCTTGCCATTCCACACACATTGGCCAGCCATATCATCAATACAGTTTCATTGTAACATATTAAAATTCATAACAAACACGGACATCATACATACTGCAACACTTACAACAAGCAAGTCTCAGCAACGTATAATACAAGCACACAGACCATTTATTAACTCTTAACATTTGAGCCCCTTACATGCTTGACACTTCCTTCACTCATTACATTTTGGCTGTAGATCACACATAATTCATGTTTTTAGCATGAAGAAAGTGGATAACAGCATGAATTTTGCAGTTAGCAGGATTGTCAATCACAGGACAAATCATAACTTACTCTGTAGAGACAAGAACAAACACTAGGTGACCAGTCATGTGATGGTTTACAAGGCAGCGAGTCATGTGATGCTACCTCACGTGCACAGGGTCTCCCCACTCATACATTATAAGCCTAAAATAAACAGAGGTTACTTTCTGAATAGCACTTGTACATTATTCCAGATAAACAGATTTTGTAAATTATTAAAAATAATCAGTATATTATTTTTTCTTTTCAACTTATAATTGGAAGACAAAAATAATTGTTCCAACCTGCTGACCAGGCCTCAGGAACCTCTAGACGTCTGCAGATCACACTTTGATGACCACTGATGTAGTAATTATGTTTTGCTTCATAGATGGTCTTTTGTATTTTCTTAATTCCCACTGTTAGAAATAAAATATATATTGGATTCCTGAAATGGGGAGGGATATAAATATCTTATCATTCTCCAACATAAAGAGTTGTTAGCTGTGTAGCTTTAAATCACTGTTTGTAATGCATTTCACTATACAGGAGGAAGACTTGGACTGCCAGCAGGGTGTAATAGATTTCTCACTGTACTTGCGGTCCAGTAACCAGTGTAGTGAATCTTCAGAAGATGACTTGGATCATGACAACATGACCACTGTCCTTGATCAAAAGAATTATATTGAGGAGCTCAATAGGCATCTCAAGTATGTATGTAATTAATGAACAGTGCCCCTTCATACACTCATCTCAGTTGTAGACAAGGATATGAAAAGCAAGAAACCGTGGAACAAAGTTTTTCAACTTTCTGTCAGTGTATTCTTCATTGTTCTTAGATGTGGAAGTTCATTTATTGCACATTCCAACCTGTTAGTACGACAGTGTGCTGAGACGTAAATTATTTTTTTTATCTTCTGGAATACAATACTGTGTAGTCCGTTGAAAGTCAACTGATATTTCAGAGGAACATATCGCCTGCATCTTCAGGGTCAAATAAGCCGAGCAACATACCAGCATGAAATAGGTAACTTTCAATGGATTGCATGGTGTTATATCCCACAAGATAATACTGTCCATAACCACCACTGTGACAACCTCAAATCCTACATAAATGATTTTTCCTTGCTCATTGTTAAATATACATTACATGTTAAATAGAAGTTGTAGATCTTAATGAGACATAATATATATAATGTGCCAGTTTTTTGTATGGTAAACCGTTATTGAGAAAATGGGTAAGTTTGATATGAACTTCATAGAAATTGGGCTTTATGTTGGATAAATATAGATCAAAATTAAATTTGCTTCACAACTTTCAGTGTAGAAACCAGTGTCTTTGGAGGTGAATCGTGTGTTTGATTTTCCCATTATCTTGGATTTTTAGAAAACTAACTATATAGAATAAATACAAATGTTTTTAATTTTCTTCCTTCATTTCACAGTTATGTTTAACATGTATACTCCAATTTCAAGTTTCATTGCCAGTGTTGAACATATTTTTGGTGTAGCATCCACTTGAGCTAAAATATCCCATCTGTATAGAAAATGTTCTTCAGATTGTTTATTGAAGCTGTGAAATGATGAAGGCTTGGAATATAACATACTTCATCACTTATCTGTGTATTGTGTCCAACAATTACATTCTCTACAAAAGGCTTTGTTTCCATGCATAGAATTTTAAACAACTGATTCTGGGTGTAAATAAAGCCAGAAATTGGCTATGCCATCATCATGCATCCTGTGCATCTACATTCATATACTCACCAAATGGTACATGACCTCACCTTTCTGGTGGCAAGAAAGTGTTCTCTACATGAGTGTGAAAATGTGAACAAAAGACTAGCTATTCAGAAAATAACCGAGACACAAATTCAGACAAAATGTAAATTTGTTCTTGTGGGATGTTCAATCAAGGTTATGTTGTAAACAGTTCTTCATGAAATTTTATTTTGTAACAACAACAGAAATGTAAAATGATACTTTTGAATCATGTGTCACAGTCCATTTGTAAGAAGGGTCACCAGAGCAATTTACAGACTGCAGTCATCTTTGAGAAACATGTTCATATTTTTTAGGTCCCACTGATTGGCATTTTATGGTTTGTTATAGCAGGGCTGCTGAAGAGTGAGACCAATATAAATTAGAAGAGAGTTGCAAGGTATATGCGTTGCCATTTCTTAGTAGAAATGTAGTGTTAACTGAAATAGCAATTACCAATTTAAATGAGTTGGGACAGCTTAGTGAGTGAAGTGATTGGATGCAAGTTTGACAGCTGGGTTTTATTTCTGGCAGGGGCAGGAAAACTTTCCTCATCACCTTGGTCAGATCAGTTCTGGGGTCTACTCAGCCTTCTGTCTTATGGGTACGGAGGTCTCTTTTCCTTGAGGGTATAGCAGCTGGATCATTAAATTAATTGCTCACTTTCATCTAGTGCTGTGGTTAAGTGTGCATGGAGTTTTAATTCTCCCCTCCATATGCCATGATAATTTGGTGCTTAGACAAAGACATAACTTTAGCATTGCCTTAGTAGATACTAACATTTTAAGTTGCCTTAATATGTGACTTAAAAAGTGCCTGTGTGACACTCTTCATTGAAGAAATGAACATTCCTCTGTTTATTTAAACTGGTGTCAGACAAGTAGACAAGATGAATTTCAAACTGAAAAAACATCCTTGAATCATAGAAGTGGTGTTTTGTAGCTTATTATTAATGACTGTTATGTTGTATTTCAGTGCTACTGTTACAAATCTCCAGGCAAAGGTTGAAACATTAACAACTACTAATGCGCTTATGAAGGAAGATTTGGCAATTGCTAAAAATAACATCCTGTCTTTATATGATGAGAACACTAACTTGAAGAAGGAACTTGGTTTGGATGTAAATGCAGACAGAATAGATGAGGGAGGGGGTGGTGGAGAAACAGGACAGACCAAAAAATCCGAAACAAACTCAGAAGTGGAAGAACTGAAAGTGCAGTTAGAGAATGAGAGGAGGCAAAGACAGGAGACTGAAAAAGAACTCAGTCTTCAGGTAAGGAATGTAGCTACATCAGAGAAATAGAGATATTCAAAGTATTGTTTTATACTTTAACTCTTTACTAGATTCAGAAGGTGTTTAAATGAGAGAGGCTAAGAATTGGCACAATTGGCCAAACAAAATTTTATACAGAATTTTGACTGTCATTATATGTCACTTGGAAGTCTGAGATATAGACAAGAGGTTAATGATAAAATGCGCTTAGAGAAATGATTAATGCTCTTAACCCAATTCTTTCCTCATTATTACCTCATTAAATTAACATCATATAAGGCCCTTAAAACAATTTATTTGGTAATAACTATATTTTAAGGTTCATTTGTTTGTCTAAAATGATATTTTACATTCTTTGGTTCCCCCTACCTGTTGACAGTTGTAGTTAACTTTTCTGATCTTGTAGAATTGACCATATCATAAACAGTATCAGCACTTTAGCAGCTGATATCACCTCAGCTGTACTGGTCACTCAGATAATCCCGAATTTCTGATAACAATTCTTTCTGCTGTAATGGAATCAATCCTGTGTTAAATAATAGTATTCACTTAAGGAAACAACTGAAAGCTAACCATAATTATAAAAATTACTAAATTGAAGATTATTTCTGTCTGTGTAGAACACTGTATAGTCTGAAGAAAGCCTGTCATTTCAGGAAAACCTACAACCTCCATCTTTGGGGTTGAAGAGTAAGCTAATCAAGAAACCAGCTGAAATCTGCTTTCTTCTTGCTTCTTCTGGTTTCTTGCCTGGCTTACTCTTTGACCCTGAGGATGGAGGTAGTATGTTCCTCTGAAGTGTTGGGTCTTTTCCAAACTGAATAGCCTCACAGCCCAGAAAACTGTACTCTCTGTAGTCACCACTGTTGAGTACCTCAAAAATTGAACAGTCAATTTTCTTTTAATTAATAGATAAGTTTGAAGGCAGAAATGGAAGTGGCAATGAAACTATTAGAAAAAGATATTCATGAGAAACAAGATACAATCGTATCATTGCGAAGGCAGCTGGATGATATCAAACTCATCAATCTGGAAATGTACAAGAAACTTCAGGTAAGGAAGGAATTGCGTACTTGCCTTTGTTTGCAGTCAAATTATTGCTAAATACCATTTTGGTCACATATTTAGACTAGGGAATTTTTAATGCTTTTTACTCTATACACTGACAAGGAAATACTTGAAGTAGTACCTTTTCCAATCAGATTATCATATTTATTTAAGAGAATTTGTGTTGTGTGAATGATGTGGCTATAGTTTCATTACATGAAGTCAATTTCGGCATCCAGTGGAAGTCTTTAGCAAATTAATTGTTTACCCATTACGTTAATCTTCTGTGTTTTAGGCTTCAGGTTTACTTGTCTTGTAGATGTAATCAGGAGAGCTTGCCTAAAATGAATTATGTTATTCATGTATCACACTTTGTCATTCAATTTTTAGGAATGTGAGCAAGAGTTGACCCAAAAAGGTGAGATGGTGACACGTCTCCAAGCTAAAACAAGTCAAATTGGTCAAATCCTCAACAACTTAGAAAAATACAATCATTTGTTGAAAGATGCTGAAAAGGGGGGTCACACCTCAACAAAGGGAAATCAGCCCAAAAAATAATATCAGGAGCACAAAAGTCATATCTCTGTGTATTTAGTTTGTATTGGCTTTATGTGCAGTATATTGTTTTTGTCAAGATACCTTCACAGGAACTATGTACATTAATTTATTTCGTTATTAGTTCCCTGTTATGTGATTTTTATGAGCCACTGATAAATTATATTGCAGGAGTGTGAGAGCTCGCTTAAACACAAAACTGAACTAATCACCAAACTGGAGGCTAAAACGTTTGCAATGACTGACACTATACAGAAAATGGATGAAAAGTAGGTACTGCCTGTTGTTTTGGTGTTTACAGATTTTAACTCGTAGAAGAGGGGTAACAGAAGGAAATACAGTTTTTGAAACCATGATTGTAACTAACTAAATTCTTTAGATTGCCTTAAGCCAAGTGGAGAGGAATATTTGTTTTGAAACAAGGAACTTGTTAATAAAATGTGCACTCCATATTATTTTGAAAGACATGCATAAATATTTGTATCAAGTATCAGTGGTTCTTTGAATGCTGCTTTTTATCATCAATAAGAGCAGCCTGTTTGCAGTATAGCTTCACTTGGTGTGTGATATAAATATTGACAGTTTTACTTTCTCTTGGGAAATACACTTTGCAATGCAGTTGTGTTTAATATTCATACAAACGCTTATTGTCTAAGCTGACTGAAAGTAAAACAAAGTTAATTCTAATTACAGCAAGTCTATTTAGGGATGGATTATTGTCATATTTATAAAATATTGTTTTAAATGGCATGTATGAACTGTTCTGTATTTAAAAAAGAAACACAGGTTGTGGTTCATAATGTAGAGATTAAATGTACTGTCTCTGTTTTTAGACCTGACCATTTTTGACAGAATGTACAATAAATTTGGTCTAGAGCATTAACTGAAATTAACTGAGATAATGAATGTATGATGTGTGTGAGTTATGAACAGGGCATTGCAGTATGTCACCCTCTCTCCCACATTGTGACTGCAACTAAAACTGTACTGTTTCTTGTTGTACTTCTCATGTGCTACCCAGAGGTCAGGTCTAGAAACATGGCTTATAGCTAAATAGTGGAGTATTAAAAGAGTATTAATGTTGGAGATATTGGCAAACCTTCATTACAGGCCACCACATGATATTGTAATATTTTGATTTACTACTTAAGTGTTTACATATTATACAATTTTTAGGACACTGAATTTTAAATATTTGTTCCTTACATTGTCAGAAATAAGTGAACTTATAATTATCTATGCTTATTCCTTGTAAAGAGTTTTATCTAATAAAGTATATATTGTGAAAAATATGCTTATATTATTCAGCAGATGAGTGGTAGTAATATTTGAAGTTCTCAAGACAGTGACTGTGAGTATTGTCTTTTGCTATGTGATGCTCTGTATTCTGATATATCATTACCATTGTTTTGGAGGAATATGCTGCCTACATCTTCAGGGTAGAAGAGTACCCTTGACATGAATATGGATGCAACAGGTTTCTTCCTAATGTCTGTAACGATTTACCAGGCTACATGGTGTCACATCACAGAAGGCTGTAATCCTTGAGTTCTAGTAAGGTTGATAAAAGTGTCACATTTTCCCTTCACTATTTTCAGTACCTAGTTTTATTTTGTTTTTTGTTCATTTAGGCTGTCTGTTTTGCGGGTTTGCCATTATTTTCATTGCATCAGTTGTAATTTGTTTTGGGATTTTCACTTCAGGTAGTGTACCTAGACATGCTCAAAGGAGTGTCATTCTCCTGCTTTCTGTAGTTCATAATGAGGGACGAGGAACAGAGGAGAATATCACCGGAGCAAGCTCTACCTACATTCCTATAAGTGACATGATTTGCCATTGATAAGGTGGACATTTTTATAAAATTTTACTAGATTACACATTATACTTTGATTTTCCTATATCACTTCTTCTATTTTAGACAGTTCTGTATTAGAAATATATCGATATGCCCTGCAAGTCTTTGGGAATTACATGTTTGTGTTTTTAAATTATTTTTTTTTCTAATTATGTTCTTTGTTGTTCCACTTTTGATTTCCTGTACCTATTCCCTATTTCTGTTACACCATGCTGATGTGAAATCAGGTACAAGCAGTGTGAAAATGATCGAATAGCAGCTGAGGAATCATCTCGAAAACTTGGGCAGCAGGTTGCAGAAAAGGAGGTGCAGAATTCTGGCATTGAAGGTGATCTTAGGATAGAGAGAGAATGGCGGACGTCTCTCCAAGAAACTGTGGTGAAGGACAGAGACAAGATATCTGATCTTCACCAGGAGTTGGCACAACTGAAATCAGTTGCATCTGTAAGTTTATTTATTTTCTTTCTGTTTGTTCCAGTTCTTTCTCCCACCATATGCATCAAGAACAACATATTTTATGGTTTAAATGTTAGCTTTTATGACTGCTGGGGATGCATTTCATGGAAAGTTAGAACTATCTTAATTTATATTATATAAAAAGAATGAAATAGAATACTTTTTAATTTCCATATACTTACACAGTAAATTAGGCAAATTGTAATATATGTTATGAGCATAACCTATGCAAATTGTGCTATAGGGCATGTTTATTGGAGACATTATGTGGCTTTTTTTTTTTAAGTTTCCAGAACTTACTGAGATTTATGGCTAAAGTAGAAGCAGAATTAGACTAATATAGATGGAACTGTTTTCGTTTCGGTTAAATGATTTTATCCAATGACGTATGCTAGTCCTGGTGACTACACATCATTATCATATAATTTGCATATCTGTGTAATAAAGCCCTTCGCTGACAAGTGGCGGTCGCTTGGTTGGTATAGTTCACTTGCGTACTAAAACCACAGAGTTTTTTTTTTGTATACTAAAGTTTCAAAACAATTCAGTAGGACCTACAGATCAGGTTCTTAATGGACATACATTGGTTCCTTGGTATTCATTTATAGAGCATTTAGAGGCATTTGGTAAGATACTAGGCACAGTTTTCACCTCATTAAAGTTAAATGGGCTTTTTATCTTGATAAATGATATTATATGACTCATCTTCCAATCTAGATTTTACAGCATTTCATAAAACAATAATTAGGGAACTAATCAGCTCTCCCTAATAGAACCTGAAGGTTATACCAAAGCTCACCATAGGACTGAGTCCTGAACATTTCCTTCTAGTTCACACCTACACAATTTATGTTTTTAGTCATCTTTAATTGTCAGTGGACAGAATTAAATTTGCATTTAAATACCTTATTTACATACTATGAGAAGAGAATCGGATATTTGCTATGTGTATTGCTTGTAACCAAACAAAAACCACAGTAATGAATACTAACTTTTTGTTGCAGATGCATGACATAGGATTCTTATAAATACCTGAGCATTTTAAAATTTTAATTCACTTCATTAAATATTCTGCAATAAGTAAGTGGCAGATATCAGTAAAGTCTCAATTATCCAGTCTAAATAGAACTGGCAGGTTGTTGGATTAACTGAAATGTTGGATAATATGGAAATCTGGGGGGGGGTTGAACCAGTCACAAATTTAATGGAAGTGATTATGATTTTTCTGTTATGTTGGGAGCAGCCTTTGTTTCCTCACAAACAGGCTCACTTTGGTTCTATTGGAAGGAATGTTCAGTACCACTGTAAAATTTCAGCACTGCCTTCTTCAGATAACAAGACTTTTTTAACCTGAAGACTATGATCTTTTTCTGAATCATTTTCATCTTAAAGTTAATCTTCATTGCCTCTCTTTCTACCAAGTTCACTGCATGCACACTTTTAGATAGATCTGCCATATTTATGATTATCAGAGTTGACAGAAATATTTAAATACTGTATTATAAATGAGCAACTTCATCCTGATGCAGGAGCCTGTGATATTGTCTTGTTAAGTAGTATCATTTTATATATCTTGCTATTTGTAGCCACAGTATGAACACATTCTTAGTATAATAAAGAGTTTTGAAAGAATACTTAGAGAGAGAGGCACAAGTATGTGGCATATTTTTTTGAATGATCCATAACAGGACAAAGAGATTATAAAGTAATGTTAAAATTTCCTTGAACTTTAGTTTTTCAAAAGACCCTATCAGTACCATGGACATTTTTGTGGATAACTGTGTTATTTAATTTTTCAGTTTGTCTGCTGGAATCTAAACCCTGTCTTACTTGAGGGCCCCAACATATAGTCTTTTTCATTATTAATAATTTTACAGACATATTCCCTCTGTCTGTAAGTGGTGTCTCTGTTGAGGAAGTTATCATTTATAATTCCACTTTTTGGTATAAGAAAACCGAAGTTCTAATGAGAATGGGCCAGTATGTTGAACCTTTGTGTTCCATAAACAGTGAATGTCTTGAAAGCAACTATTAGCTTCTCCAGAATGAATCTGCTCCATGGAGTTAGTTATCAAGTATAGTAAACATTCCTGATTTCATTTAATATTGTTGAGAGAAATACAAATTTGTTGAACTAAATGTGGAATAGAATTTCTTTTTAGGTGTTCTTTATGATGTAAAAACACATGCCTTATTTGGAGGTCATGTCTGTTCATCTATCTGTGATCCAGTGTAAGCACCTAAACTGTTAAGACATATTTTATTGGAATCTGATATGGGGGACTTCCACCAAAATTGTTGGTCAATTCCATTTTTCAACCATATGGATCGATAATAAAGCTGGCTTTACACAAGGCCAAAAATGGACATGTTCATGTATCCCATAAACCATTTCACAGCATTTGTTGGAATTCAGTATGGGAGAATTTCCACCAAATACTGTTGGTCAGTTCTGATTTTTATCCATACTGATCCATAATAAAGCCTAGTTTGCATAAGACTGTAAATGGAATTTCTCTTTTATTCCACAAGCCCTTCCACTATCCCATAAATCTTTCCATACATTTTGTTGTAAATTCACTGTAGGAGATTTTCAGTATTTCCCATCCATTATTCTCATTTTTAAGTATGTGTAATAAACTTCAAAGAATGCTGTTGGTATTTTGTGTACTAAATTATGGAGTTACACCCTTTCGAGTATTCTTGATAAATAACATCTCTTGGCAGAAATATGTGTCTTTGCAAGAGGAATATTACCAGTTGAAGGAGCAATGGATGGAACAAGAACAAACACTGGAAGAGCTTGGTAATCAGCTGAGCATATCTAAGCTTCAAGTAGCAGACCTCAAAGAGGAAGCAACAAGGAATGTTGCAAAGGTGGAAGGACAGTGGGCCTCAGATAAGGAGGTGACTCACTGTAAAGGCTGTAACAAGGAGTTCAACATCACACGAAGACGGGTACGAATTTGAGTATTATGTGGAATACTGGAATATAATGTTTGATACTGTATTTGAATGAAGTGAAACTTGCTGCTGTGGGTGGGAGTTTAGCTGGCAGACTTCTGTATTTCAAGGCATAGGAGATGAAAGCATAGAATCCATTGGTTTGTAGAATAGTATATTTTTCAATTATTTGTATATTTCTAAATATGAAGATAATGCTGTTTGAGTATAATGCAAGTCATAAATGAGTCATTTTTTTGGTTCCTACCCATATTACGCATGTTGATATCTACTGTGTCAGTTTTTCATTCTTTTGTTGCTGTTGGTTCTTCACTGTAGCACTGCATTGTGGCCTCTGGTTTATAAATGTCTTTAAGTTTAAGATTCAGATACTGACAAAACTTAGCCCAATGAATCATATTCGCTGTTGGTGTACAGGAGAAGTGGAAAATGTGACATGTGGTTTTGTTAGTTGGTTTATTTGTCATTAAGCTGTAAAGAACAAATCAGTGAATTATGGGGTATGAAGCAGTAGATGGGCCTACACTCTCTTTTGTTATTACTTTACAGTTTTATGAATATAAGTTTGTAAAAGCACTGCCTGAGTTGAAACTATCCTGTCCCATGAGTTGTAGTTGAGGACTTAAATCACTTTTAAAATTATGCTTACATATGCATAACCAATTCACAGTGACTGATGCCATCTTCTGGTGCCCAAACACCATTCATTCCTATTCATCCATTGTCAGTCATGCGGATCTGTAGTCTTCTGTATCACCTTCTTTCTAGTCTTCCTCTTCTTCTCTATTTCATAGGTACCCAATTCATTATTCTTTCTGGCAAAACTTTCATGTGCCATTTGTTGGCTGTAACTCTACCAACATAATTGTTCCTTTTCTGTTGTATCTGTAGTATATGGCTTATCCTCAACTGTCATAATTTCTCTCATTTTTGTATGACTAACTTTGTCTATTGTAGATATACCATCCGGTCCATTTCATTATCCAGAAGTTTATTAATCTCTTCCACTGGTATCTGCCACACCTCTGATCCATGTGCTAAAAAACTCTTAATCATTGCATCATATATATTGATTTTCCAAATTTTTGTTACATGTTTTGTTCTACCATACCAAATTTAAGTCATTTATTGCCTTATGACTGTTATCAATTTTTGTATCTATATATGCATACTCTTGGCATGTCTCTTGTCTCGTCTCCATTCTCTACATCAACAAGTATTGTATCTTCACCAGTACATAACTTTTGTTTCACATTTATCTTAAGTATCATATTCATCCTCGTCTTGTATTCAGTATCTTAATATTTGTAATTCATGTTGGGTTTAATCCTTACTGGCTTGAAAAGAAGAACAGAATTTGCACATTAAGGCCAAGATATGCATTACAGGGTAGTGTCATTGGATACCTTCACAGTGTTGAAGATGCCATGTACATGGCAGAGTAGAGATCTACATGCTCAGCAATGGGCTTACTCTTCAACACTGAAGTTGGAGGTAGTACATTTCTCCAAACCAGTGGTAGGCTTATACCAGTCAACATATACCAGAAAATGATACTTTTCAAATCTTCAATTTTAATCCGAAATGATTACTTCATGTTTCATTGACTACATGAACCAGTGAGAAATACTTCATATTTTATAGACCAGATGAAACAAAAAAAAAATGGATACAATTCTTTGGCTGTTTAGTATGTTAATTTAAAATCTCCTCCAGTGTTCAGTCAGTCATATATGAATCAGGTCATTCATTTGTACTTTTTTTTGTGTGTATACCTAATGAATGTTTTTAATGTTGAAGAGGGAACAAAATCAGAACTAGCACTAATTGCCATGTGCAGTCCTTTCCACTCTGTGGGTTTTTCTTCTGTTCATATGCTGTATCAGGTTGTCCATGGATTTCTTAATGTTCACGCCCTGTTAAACTTCATTTCATAATCAACATGCACATATTTTGAACCATTTATTTTTTTGATGATAGTAATATTTTTCTTGCAGCATCATTGTCGTAACTGTGGGGAAATATTCTGCAACGCATGTTCAGACAATACCATGTCATTGCCTTCGTCTGCCAAACCAGTTCGGGTGTGCGATGACTGTCATGTGTTCCTTGTTGGACGATACTCAGTTGTGCAATGAAGTGAAGTGAAGCAAAGCATGACCTCACCATGGAATGAACTGTTTGTTTGATATTCAATGAAGCTCAAGATTTCCACCCATGTGCATAGCTATTCAGAAAGCCAAAATTATAGCTCACAATCTAGAATCATGCTTTACAGAAGTTTAACATATGCTTCTATATCATACCTTTCACTCCAGTCTTAGTTCGATTTCATGTGTGCGTACCAAGAAAACGTGTATTTGTCTTGAAATATATGATGTGTACAAACACGCACCTCTGCTATTATGTGCAGGAGAATGGTTGCATTTGTACAGCACATAGTAAAAAATAGATTATTAAAGGAGTGATGGGTACTTAACATTAAGTTTCAAAATAATGGAATGCACTTTACAGAGCATGCTTGTTTGTATTATGTACAAGTAAGTATGTCAGTCATTATTAATTTGGTAGCCTAAAGGATGAGAGGGAAAACTGTGTCTTCTTATGTGGGTTATATCCCTGGCTGTCAGATTTATGGAAGCATATGCCAATTATTGGAAAATGAACCAGTGTTTAGCATTGCCTTTTCATGCATTGTGCCAATTTGATACAGAAAATATTTTTTTAAGTTGGGTGAACTTCAAATGCAACTCTGCAGTCAGACTACTGGTATTTTATAGTAAATTAATGATTAATAATGAAATAATGATATTCATTTTTGTGGATGGTGCACCCCTGCTATCTTGATATTCTTCTTTGTTATTGTCTAATAATGGTTGAAACAATGAGAATTATTGATTCCACAACTTTGGAGAGCATTTATGAATATGTTATTTGAGAGTATAAGTTTACATGAATGTTATGGGAACTGAAGTGAATATTGTATGTTGGTCTCATTAAGGAAATTACAAGTCATAAGAAGGATAAAGTTCGTATGATTTCAATATAAGTGTACTAAAACTATGGGAAAAGTGAGATAGAATTATCCCAAGATTTGAACATAGAGGTTTGTTTTTCGCCCCATTCTGAAGTAGAGCTTGTTTGGGAATTGGTTAGTAAATTATTTCATTGGTATATTTCAGTAGGAACAATGATAGACATATTTACAGTGTAATTAAATTAAGGACACTGGGAAAAAGTTTTTCAGCTCCAAGAAACCAAAGTATCAACTGGTTCTTTTGACTTATATGTAGAAGATAATAGATCAGAAACCAAGAATGACCGTCCTGACTGATATTTTTGTCTCCTATCCAAGTCTATAATGTGCTGTCACCTTCATTGTCACAATTGTTGTTGTAAATGTTCTGCAAAGATTCCTTCCCATTCCTGCAATAATGAGGATGGCATTTTATCAGTATTAGATGAAGAGAGTGGAGATGTTTCAAACTGAGTTTGTGGGAGTATTTAGAATTTGTGACCTTTAGTTGTGTGTTGTTTAAGTTTAAATTTTGAAGAAAGCATCAAATTTCATTATTAGTTTGTAGGCTGACAACCTTACCGCCATCTTTGAGCCGATTGTCAAGGTAATGCAGGACCCTCTCATCTCATCTCATTTATTTACATTCCATAAATCCACTACATATAGGATAAGGAATTAGTCATTGATAGTACAAATAACACTACATAGAAATAACAATATAAGGTGCATTACATTATTCAATACCATAATAGATCACAGTTAATTATTGGAGTCAAATTTACAATCAGAATATTCTTCCAAGGAATAAAACAAGTTCATCAACAAAAATCTTCTTAAAACAATTTTAAAACGTTTAACATTTTGAGCCAGGTTCCTTATACGAGTATTAGAAGGAAGCCAATTAAAAACCTTAATACCATGGTAATACAGTCAACTCTCGATTATCCGGGCTAATGGTGGGGATGGAAGTCACGGTTAATCGAAAACCCGGTTAAGCCAAATTTTATTATACGGGCTGGACGACTGTGAAGGGTCGGAGTTCGAGTCCCGGTAGGGTCAAGAATTTTAACTTCTCCAAATCGTCCAGACCGGCTCTGGGGTCCATCCAACCTCCTATCCAATGGGTACCGGGGGCTCTTTCCCCGGGGGTAAAGCGGCCGGGGCGTGAAGCTGACCACTCACCTCCAACTAGTGCCGAGGTCAAGAAAATTTGGATCTATACATCCACTCCCCCACACGCCTTAATGGCGTAGGGCTTAATTCGTTGAGCAGAGGAACAACTTTACCTTTTACCTTTTAATACCTTCATAATACTATAGACCTACCTGTATTTAAATTTATTCATCCTCATTTCTATGTCATCTCATGGCCTATTTAATACTTTCTTTACATTACACTCAGTATGAATTAGTTATTTCAATCACTGTTCAACAACATCCAGCACTTTTTACGGTCACACTTAACACTTAAAATAATTTAATACTGTCTTTTGCTTTTTCGCGGCATTTTCCTTTTTACGGATATCCGTACGAAGCCTACGTAATATTAGCTTGTCACTTAATAAACTGTCCTCTTCACTCTCAAGATAGTCTAGTAAGGATTCCAAATGATTAAGCGCAGCACCATGTGATACTTTCTTACTGGCAACACTGTCCACCTCTTCCTCATTCTCACTTTCTTCCCGCTCTTCTGGCTGCACCCCCATTGAAGTTACGATTTCGTCACTGCTTAACATTTCGAAGCCCGGTTCACACGAGTCACAGTTAAACCACTCTCTTATATTTTCCTCGTTGACTTCTTCACCACCATGAACTTGGTTAGCCACTTTTGTCAATTTTATGGCTATCTCATTTTCACTGAATCCAGTGAATCCATGGATTTCGTCATCTTCATTAGTGATGAAAGGCATCAGTTTCTTCCATGAATTTTTCAATACAGATGGCTTTACTGTATCCCACGCTGTTGAAATCTCGTATATGGCATCTAATACTGAAAAGGACTTCCAGAAACACGTCAGATCATTGCCTTCATCGATGTACTTTTGTAGCAAATTTGATCTGTAGATTCTCTTCATACTTGAGATAACTCCTTGATCCATTGGTTGGATAAGTGCGGTAACATTAGCGGGAAAATATTTCACAAAAATATTTCCATCATCTGACCTCAGGAGACTTTCGTTAGGATGTGAGGGCGCATTGTCAATGAGGAGCACAGCTTTCTCAGGTAGGCCTTGGGATTTTAGATGGTCACGAACTTGAGGCACGAATTTAAAATCAAACCATTCTTTAAATATCGCTCTATTCATCCAAGCTACTTTCTGGTTAAAATAATGGATAGGCAGACTTGAAGCTACTGTTCCTTTAAAAGAGCGTGGTCTTTTCGCTTTGCCGATAACTACTGGTATTAGTTTGTGTGTTCCTGATGCATTAGAACAGCACAAGACTGTCAATCTCTCCTTACTGGATTTGTGACCTGGAGCCTGTCTTTCATTTTGAAATGCCAATGTTCTGGTTGGCAAGCATTTCCAATAAAGACCCGTTTCATCGGCATTATAGATTTGTTCTGGCAGCAGATTTTCACTTTTCACAAAACTATCAAAATTGGTGCAAAATTGATCTGATGCTGACAAGTCCCCTGACAATTTCTCACCTTGAATACTGATTTCTCGTATTCCATGACGCTGCTTGAAACGTGTTAGCCAACCGGAAGAAGCGTCAAAACTCCCTTCTAGTTCAAGTGCTTCGAAAAAATATTTAGCTTGTTTAGCACAAACTGGTCCTGTTATTGTTGTTCCCTGTGCCCTTAGTTGATTAAACCAGGTCAGCATCGCTTTGTCGAGATCATCGTATGTTGATTTCTTCATGGTTTTTCTCTTCTTCATTCCGCTTGAATTAGAAGACGAAGCAAAGGAAATTAACTCATTCTTTTGTTTTTTCAAATCACGAACAGTTTGTTCTCCAATACCGTATTGCATTGCTAATTGTTTAACTACAGCTCCTTTTTCCAGCTGATTGATAATTTCAAGTTTCTGTTGAATACTTAACACAACACGCTTCCTTTTAAACCCCGACATTTTGCTAACGCACTTGAAGATCTATATTAAGAAACTGATACTTACTTTCACAATGCACTCTCACACTGAGATGGTACCGTTAAATAACCTGGGGCGGTGTATTTGTCCTTGAAACTTTCCAAAAATTCTTGCATTCTTTCACCCCCACCCTAGAACATTGTGTTCGCATAACGGGACGAAATAATGCAGAGCTCGGTTCACACTAGTGCGAAAATAGTGTTAAACTCACCATGTGAAACAAAAGTGAATGAATATTAAACAACATATAAACTTAAAAAAAAAAGCCCCGGTTAAGCCGCAAACCGGTTAATCCGCCCCCGGATAATCGAGAGTTGACTGTACACTCCTTTCTGAAATACAGTCAACTTACATGTAGGATAATGGAATTTATTATTATATCTTGTATTCCTATTATATAACTCGGAATTTAACTTAAATTGATCTTTATTATTAACCATGAACATTGCAAGAGAAAATGTATACTGAGAATGAAGGGGTAAAATTTCCAGTTCCCTGAACAATTCCCTACATGAATCTCTGTTCCCAGTTACAGGGATAGCTTTACTTTTTTTTTACATACATACATACATATATATTTAAGGAGGTACCTACTCCAGCAGATATATTTTCATGAAATGTATTGTTTGCAGAACCAACAAACACTGTTGTCACAACCCAGAAAAGTTAAATTCTAGCATAAAACCCTACCATTGTATCAAATTCTACTTAACCTGTCTGTTCTGCTCACATTAATGTTATACAATACTGCTCTCTAAACAGAAACCCAGGTTTTGAGGTCTATAAATAGCTTATGTACTGAACAGTTCTGCTCCTTTTCTTTCTCTGTTATGTGGCAGATGTAGAAAACTGAATTGGTTGATTCCTCTTAGCTATTTTTCATCTCACATGCAACTTGCTTTTTAACACCTTTAAAAGTTTTAAATGTTAAAATCTCTTTCCATCACTGGTGTATGCACAGGATATTTGAACCATATACTGAGCACAGGAGACACATATGGTAGTATAAACGATTCAGTGAACTTCATAAAAACAGAAAGAAGGAAAACGCCTAAGTATGTTAGGAAAAGACCACATGTATGAAATCAGTAAAAGCAGACTACTCATGATTGACGCATGTATGACGTTTATAATCCACTATTCGAAACTATTTCCAGCTTTTGCTGAGGAAGGTACTGTTGTCTGTATCTGTTGTTTGAATTAATTAATGATATAAGCAGTCAGAAAGAATGTCACCCATTTGTAAACTGCTGTTTAGCATTATCCCTGTAAACTTACACTAATACCTCTCTGATTTTGTTTCCACTCTTGTAAAGTTTAACAGGAAGCTCTGACATTCTCGCGATGACACACCAAAACACACTCAGACAATAATAGACACCACTCAGAAAGAGATGACATAGATCAACACTAGCACAGCTGTGAAACACTGATATGCCCATGTTGTGAAACCACACTGAAGTTTCTGTCCACTGTTGCCATTAGCAAGCACACGGTGGTGAGTTCACAAACTTTATGGTCACGCCACATGGTTCAACAAGATGAGGAACAAAGAGATGGTCATTTGTCTACAGGGCACAGTTTGCCTGAAGCTTACGAAATGATATATGTAGTTGAGTAGTCAAAGTCTGCATACTTCTGCATAACAGTGCCCCAGCACATCAGTTGCTCCATGTGCATCAACAACTGCCAATCATAGTACTAAAGTGTGTGTAAACCCACCATTCTCTCTTGGTGGCACCCTGTGCAGTTCTTATGAAGGCAAGATGGTCTTTCACATGAAGGATGCAGCAAACGTTCAGCTTCCTTCAGGGACTGTGTTGTTTGGGGTTGTATGTGGCGACTTCTAGAAATATGAAGTGAATGGATACTAGCAGATGAAGGGTACTATTTCGAAAAACTTCTCACTACTTAAGTACTTGTGATCACTTCTTGGTGTGGCACATGTCTCATCATTTTCAGAAGCTGCCATATGTTTACAGATAAATCATTTGCTCTACAGTGAAGTCTGGGGATTCATACATGAAAGTGCAGTCTGAAGATGAGAATGCTCTCCTATGTGCGCTACACAATGCATACAATGGACTGCAAGCAGAACGTTAGAGCATCTGTTGAATATAGAAAAGGCTTTTTTGTTAAGTGGTCTGGCACTGCACTGCTAGTCAGACCAGACCATTTGGCAATGAAAATAAACACACTCTTTTGGAGCAGTTCAGTGGTGCTTCATGTTCTGAAGAATTTAGTGATTATATGAGGGCGCTTTGGAAAGTAACATCCATTTATTTTAGGCAACTAGTGTAGGAATGGGGAAGAGCTCGCTCATGTGCAATAGCATCACATGACGCATTGCCTTCTAAACCATCATATAACTGATCACCTAGTGCTTGTTCTTGTCTTTTCAGAGTGAGTTATGATGTGTCCTGTAATTGATAATCCCTCAAGTTGTGAAATTCATGCTAAAAGTGATTGCTGTGGAAATCCATCGTGAATTATGCATGGAGGTTTACAGACAAAATGTATTGAGTGAATAAACTGTAAGACAGTGGTATAGAATGTTCAAAGATGGGCGAACAGATGTTCATGATGTCGAGCAAAGTGGTCGGCCATCTATGGTGAGGGAAGA